CATCCATCCATCCATCCATCCATCCATCCATCCAACATATCTATGTATCTATGTATCTATCTATCATCTACCTATCTATCTATCTATCCATCCATCCATCCATCCATCATATGTATGTATCTATGTATCTATGTATCCATCCATCCATCCATCCATCATATCTATGTATCTATGTATGTATGTATCTATCTATCATCTATCTATCATCTATCCATCTATCCATCCATTCTATCTATCTATCTATCTATCCATCCATCCATCTATCCATTCGTCCATCCATCCATCCATCCATTATATCTATCTATCTATCTATCTATCTATCTATCTATCTATCTATCCATCTATCCATCTATCTATCCATTCATCCATCCATCCATCCATCCATCCATCCATCATATCTATGTATCTATGTATCTATCTATCTATCTACCCATCCACCGATCCATCCTTCCAACCATCATATTTATGTATGTATGTATGTATCTATCTATCTACTTATCAACTGTCTTTTATTTACCTATCAATGTCAATTTATCTATCATCTATTTATGTATATAGCTATAATCTATGCCTAGATCAATGTAACATTCATAAGTAGTACGTGTTATTATTGTTGCTGTTAATACAAATAAAAATGAAATTACCCAATGAGGTAGGGAGCCTAGAGAGAGAAACGAGAAGGGCCCTCACTTTCAAACTGAACTCTGAAGTTGGCAGTGAGGTCATTCGTGTTTTCAGGTGCCCCCATTCCACTCTCCCCAAAAGACAGGCTGCTGGCCCGTGCACTGCTGGGTAGCAAGCCTCACCTCTCAGCTCGCCCCTCTGCTGGTGTGTCACCTTGGACCAGTCACTTGGGTAAGTGTCAGAGCCGTAGCTGGACTCCAGTGTTTTGACTCTGGCCCGGAAGAAATAACATTTCTCAGAATCCAAGCCTTGCATCGTAACATTGCAGGTTTCACCCTCCTTTGACTGGAGAAAGAAAGCAAAGACAGTGATCACTGCCTTAGCCCAACTCTTTACCCTCGTGTGAGAGACTCACATAAGACGCCTGCTTTTCAGCATTCATGTTGTTGTTGCAATTCCTCTGCCTGCCTAGCTACAAGCAATGACAGAGACAAATGCAGCAACAATCTCCCCACTCCTCTCCAAGAAGAAACAATCCTTTGGAACACATACTCCCACAGATGCTTTTAAAGATTACTCAGTGAAAACTTATTCTTTGTAAAAACAAAACTAATTTTTTGTAAGAATCCAAAAGTGACTCATACTTACTTTGGAGACTTTAGAAAACATACACACACACAAACACTCAACCAAAAAACCATAAAAACCTTTCATTCTATCTCCATGATATAATCACTTAACAGTGATTACACATCGCTTGTACCACTAAATGTCACTTTTTATCACTAAATATCACTTCTTGTCACTAAAAAGCCTTTGGTGGTTCTTACATATTTGATCATATAGATGTGCCATAATTTATTTGACTATCTTTCTATTGTGTGTCATATACGTGGCCTCCAATGCTTTGTATTTATTTCAGACGTTTCAATAGATGTCTTTGTGAATAAAACCTCATCCCCATTTTCAATTCTTTCCTTATAATCAGTCTCTAAAAAGGGGCTCAATAGATGAGAATTGGGCAACTTATACACACTTCAAGTCTGTTAACGCTCAATATCGTTGATCAGGACACATTGTGTTACTAGCATGTTCTTCAGATAAACTCCAATACCCACCTATTACTGAAACATGTGTTTCTTTGATGAGTTTCATCAAATTTCATTTCAGTGGTTCCGTTCTACCAGACCAGCAGTAGGTCAGTTTTTCTCTTTTTTGATAGGCTCCCTGCAGCTTCTAGTCCATACAACTGCCTTACGATGATCCTCTCATTACAGTGTATTCTCATTTTTATCCTTACTGTTGCATTTCTCTTCCCAAGTTGCCCTAGCTACGTGCTCCTTCTGTGCCCTCATTGCATGGGATTTAGTAGACACTCAGTAAGTATATCTTAAATGAATGTTGAAGGCAGCCCTTCCCATCCCCCCTAGGGATGGCAGACATCGAGTGTCCTGGGCTGAGATGTTCAGTAATACTCACCCTGCCTTCTCTCCCCCTACTCCCTGGATGGGGCCATGGGATATGGTGCTTCTGGTCCACCTCACTATCCAAGTCTGCAGAGATCAGTGAACACAGGTGTACTTGCAGAAGTATGGAATCATTGACTCCTGAGAGTGGCCGGTAACTCAGAGTTCACGTTGCTTTTCTGTCCATTTTTTGCTGTCCTGTAGGAGAGCCCCTCCAATCCAACTTCAGACTTGGGGGCCTTCACTGATGGGCACCTCCCTGCACCTGGTTGCAGGTGATTCCATTTGCTGTCTGCAGATTTCTCCCATTGGCTCCCGTTCCCCTTTTGCGAAGAACTTAATCCCTTGTCTACACGGTAGCCATCTGATTATTGGAAGATAGCTGTGAGCCACTGGGTCATTCATAGTCACGTAATTTTTTTTTTAATTTTTTTTTCAACGTTTATTTATTTTTGGGACAGAGAGAGACAGAGCATGAACGGGCGAGGGGCAGAGAGAGAGGGAGACACAGAATCGGAAACAGGCTCCGGGCTCTGAGCCATCAGCCCAGAGCCCGACGCGGGGCTCGAGCTCCCGGACCGCGAGATCGTGACCTGGCTGAAGTCGGACGCTTAACCGACTGTGCCACCCAGGCGCCCCCATAGTCACGTAATTTTAATTTGTTCCATAGACTGTGCTCATATACTCAGAACCAGAAGGGGTTCCCATATGTTTACAAGGCATACAAACAGGGGTGGGTGGCACCCAGGGTGTGACTGGGAGGGTGTGATGGTGATGAATTTTATTTGTGAATCTGGCCACATTTGGCATCCACTTTTTTGGTCATATGTCAGCCTAGGTGTTACTGTGTTTTTAGTCAGCCGACTTTAGATCACTCCATAAGGTGGGTGAGCCTCACTCAATCACTTGAAAGCCTTGAGAGGACAGACTGGAGTTTCCCAGAGAAGAGGAAATTCGGTCTCAAGACCATAATGGAAACCTGTCTGGGTTTCCAGCCTGCTGGCCTGAGACTCGCCTGACCCTATAATCCCAGAAGCACTTCCTTAAAATAAATGTCAACACACGTCTCTGAGTCTCTCCACGTGTCTCTCAGTTACCACTTGGGGATTCTCGCTCACACTCGCCCTGAGAAGATGCCACCCCCACTCACCTGCCACTCCGTGTCGAATATGCTCTTGTATTGGATTTCGTAGAGAAGACGCTTGTAGGGCAGGTCAGAACAGGTGACCGTCACAGCGTCTTCATGCCAGCGGAAACTCAAATCTTCTGGGGAGCTGGGTTTCACTGAGGAGAGACAACAGAATGACCGCCACCTCTAGGAAGACAAAGATTCCACATCGCTAACATTATAGGGGTAAGTTTGCTTAGATTCACGTTTTTCTGCCTGCATGAATCCTTCCGTACATACCTTATGGGATTGAGGGGTTATCTATCGCAGAGGTTTTAACCAGAGCGTCAAGGACCTGTGTGTGGGTCCGGAAGGAACTCTTCGAAATTGTGTGAAAAGTTCTTAACTATCTGTCATGGGATCCAGAGTGTGCCCCTAAAAAAAGGATGTGTTAAAGTCCTAGCCGCCCCCCCCCAATATCTCACAGTACGACTGTGTTTCAACATGGAATCATTAGAGGTGTAATTATTAAAGATAAGACGGGGGTTAGTGGAGTAGGGTGGGTTCTGATCCTATATCATTGGTGTCCTCATAGGAGGACACAGACACACAGACGGAGAAGGGCGTGTGAACACACATAGATGATATACCTCTGGGCCTGTGAATGTAGAAGGATAGATGGGGCTGATGTCTCTACAAACGAAGGGACACCAAGGGTTACCAGAAAGCCACCAGAAAGCCAAGAGACAAGCATGGAACAGATTCTCCCCCACAGCCTCCAGAAGGAGCTAGCCTTGATTTCACACGCTGGGGTCTTTGTAAGTGTGGGAGGGTACATTGCTCTGGTTTTGAGCCACTCGTTTTGTGGTCCTTGGTTACCGTCAGTCCAGCAAACCGAAATGAAGACTGAACATGGGAAACGTCACATGAGACTCCTTCCCGGTCAGCTTGTCCTGTACCAAAGGGACACTGGGGTGGGTTAAACGGCATCCCCCCACAAGAACGTCCAAGTCCTAATCTCTGGCACCTGAGAATGTGGCTTTATTAGTAAATAAGGTCTTTGACGATTTCACCAAGGTAGGATGAGGTCATCGTGGATGAGGGTGGCCCTGAATCCAATGGCCGGTGTCGTTGTATTAAGCTGCCCAGTTTCTGGTAATTTGTTATGGCCGCCCTTGGAAGCTGCTACAGAGCCCATGACTGATTTTATGCGTAAGGGGTCCATAGCCCTCGTCACGGGCTGAGATAGACTGTGACACTCCATCCACCAAAAAACAGAAAAAAAAAGGAAAAAAAAAACCCACTGCTACCTTACAGAAATCTAGAGTAAAGGATAAACATTTTGGAAAGAGGGTTTCATCCTATTTGTACTGTTTTGTAACCCGAGATCGACGGCCCACCCTGGAGGCAGCTGATTAAAACCCATGGGTTGCTATCGAGGGTGAGAGGGCGTTTCTCTCTGTCTCTGTGCTGGGGGCCAGGGGGCCATGCCACATCTTGGGCTTGGTGTCTCACCTTACAGCCTCCACGGGGTCCCCCGGGGTCCCCTGCTCAGTGTGGACACATCCCTGCCTGGTGTGTGTGACAAGACAGACTTTGTAGACGGCCAGTCTTTTCTCCATTGGAGTAGAGCAGCACGTGGCACTGACTTCTTTTTGGGTACTTGGGGCGCCTGGGTGGCGCAGTCGGTTAAGCGTCCGACTTCAGCCAGGTCACGATCTCGCGGTCCGTGAGTTCGAGCCCCGCATCGGGCTCTGGGCTGATGGCTCGGAGCCTGGAGCCTGTTTCCGATTCTGTGTCTCCCTCTCTCTCTGCCCCTCCCCCGTTCATGCTCTGTCTCTCTCTGTCCCAAAAATAAATAAATGTTGGGTACTTACGGTACGCGCTTATCCACTCGCACTTTCGGAAAAGGACATCCGTTCCGTTCCCAAGGGAAAAGCACAGGATTTCGTCCTTCCTTGCCTCCAGGAGGCAGCCGGCAGTGTGGCCTTCGTGAACGATGTAGTTGCAGCATGGGCGACTGGCCTCATCGCTACTCAGCCTACAATTACAAAGCAGAACGCGTCAGCCGTAGACAGCCTGTGAAAATAGCACCTTGGCACATCGACGGCAAGTGGTGTTTATTCTTGACAAGGACGAGGACTCTTTGCTACAAGCACAGCAAGAACGATCGGAACAGAAAAGCGTCCCTTCTCTCGAAAGGTGAGGCCCCTTGAATGTCTCCTGGACTGGGCTGAACGCGGGCTTTGCAAAAACATGTCCGTGGACTAATCCCTGGAATCTGTGAATGGCATCGGATTGGGAAATACAGTCAGTGTCGATGTGATTAAAAGGTCTGGACGTAAGATCATCAGGCATGAGAGTGTCTCCTAAAGTCAATGCAGGAATCGTGTAAGAAACACAAGGGAACGGACACAGACAGGGAGGAGAAGCCACATGAAGACACAGGCAGACATGGGAGGGACATTAACCAAGAGACACCTGAGGACTCGGAAGCTGGAAGAGGCAGGAAGGACGCTCCCCTGGAGCCTCTGGAAGGACTATGACCATGACCCTCCTGGATCTCAGTGGTCCTGCCCCCCCCCCCACCCCATTCTCAGCGGCCCTGTCACTCCTGGACCTCAGCAGCCCTGCCCACGCTGGATCTCAGACTTCTGGTCTCCAGATCTGGGAAAGCATGAATTTCTGCTGTTCTAAGCTGCACAATTTCCAATACTTTGTCACAACTGCCCCCAGAAAACTAATAAAAGTACAGTTTAACTTGCATGGTAACCATGCCCCTGACTTGAGGACGCATTTGGGGAGGGACGTAGCAAGACTGAAGATGTGTCCGAGGTATCCTGCAATGTTAGGCCCAGGCAGTGGCCAGATCAACGACGCCTTTGATAACAAACTGATACTCAAGTGACTTAGCTGTGTGAGTGCCCAGGAATCCCAGCGCCTTTTTCTTCTCGAGTCTCATTTATCACCCCAATTCACCTTAAAACACAGCTCCTGCCTACACTTTCCCATTGATCTCTTATTGTTCCAAACTGTGAAGAATCAATCACACACCAGACACCTCCCCTTCACAGAATTGAGACTCAACTAATTGGAGAATCCTTTGCTCCCTCGTCTATGCTCCTGTGTTGGAGTGAGTGACACACATAAGCCCGTGATAGGGACACACATTTTCAGAAGGTGGCTGTTGCTAAGCTTGTGTGAAAAATCCCACAAGGTTCACTTTTGCCATGGCTGCAACTCAAGGAAAGTTGTGTCTGTGTCAGTCAGAATCTAGGTGGTTTTGAGCGTGACTCAGTCATCACTTGGTTCCATGTCTCGGGGATCTTTGGTTGTAGTCCCAGTGAGGGCTCGAGGCTAGACCGGCCACAGACGTTCACACGTGCACGTTCTGACTCTTCCCATGTTTGCTATCTCTGCCTCCCAACTGTTGGCGTCTCAGAGGGAGACATATTTGAGCTCAGAGCATGGTTTCCCCATCCCGAGAGCACTTACTTGTAGACAAAAGTCAGATTTGTCCCCGAGTATCGTCTCGGGCTCCATGTGACCCGCACAGTCTCAAAGTTAAAGTTGATAATCCGAACCTGCAGGACTGGTTCTGGGTGAAAAGAGACAAATAGGGTGTCTTTTGAGGCAATGCTGAAAACGGTTGGAGGTTTGTAAAAAGACAGCAGCACATCTGTCATAAGGATAGTAGAGTGCTTTAAAGGGACAGATAGAATCACGATTGTCTGAAACAAGCCAAGCACTAATTATATCGGTAAGAGTGGCAGGATAGATAAACGTTGCTCAGGATAGAAGCAAACGTCAGCAGCAAGGCTACAGCTACCCAGGGATGCCTGGGTGGCTCAGTCGGTTGAGCCTCCAACTTTGGTTCAGGTCATGATCTCACAGTTCATGGGTTCGAGCCCTATCATCAGGCTCTGTGCTGACAGCTCAGAGCCTGGAGCCTGCTTCAGATTCTGTGTCTCCCTCTCTCTCTCTTCCTCTCTGTCTCCCTCTCCTTCTCTCCCTCCCCTCTCTCTCTCTCTCAAAAATAAACATTAAAAAAAAAAAGATTATAGCTACCTTTCTTGCGATGTTCACAAGAGATAATGGCCATTATTAGAGTGAACAGCACCTATGGAGTGTCAACCATGTGTCTGATGACATCATCTTTTGTAGTCACACGAAGGGCATTAGACACCAGCAAACTCACTGTCTCTCTTGGAACAGCACACATGACAAGTTGAGAAAAAGTTTACAGACAAGTGAGTCCTTTGGTCTTGGCTTTTTTTTTTTTTTTAATTTTTTTTTTCAACGTTTATTTATTTTTGGGACAGAGAGAGACACAGCATGAACAGGGGAGGGGCAGAGAGAGAGGGAGACACAGAATCGGAAACAGGCTCCAGGCTCTGAGCCATCAGCCCAGAGCCCGACGTGGGGCTCGAACCCACGGACCGCGAGATCGTGACCTGGCTGAAGTCGGACGCTTAACCGACTGCGCCACCCAGGCGCCCCTGGTCTTGGCTTTTAAAGTTACTTAAGCTTGTGCAGTTTTGATGCTCACAGATGTCTGGGTTAGCCATTGTGAAAGTGGTTAGTGGGTGTATTCTAGCATCGGGAAAATATGCACTGATCCTGAGTGTTACAACGGGCAACTTTCCAAATGTCAGAGAAGGGAGTAACAATTTGGGGAATAAGGAAGACCAGCATGAACTCAGTGGTGTTGGGTTGGGTTAAAGTGGATAGAGAATAGATAGATAGATAGATAGTTAGATAGACAGACACGATGGATGGATGGATAGATAGATAGATATGGGATAGATATGTAAGTAGATAGATAACTGATGGTTGGATGGATGGATGGATGGAAAGATGATTGATGGTTGGATAGATAGATAGATAGATATGATGGATGGATAGATAGATAGATAGATAGATAGATAGATAGACAGACATGATGGTTGGATGGTTAGATAGATAGATAAATGGATAGGGGATGGATATGTAGGTAGATAGATAACTGATGGTTGGATGGATGGATGGAAAGATGATTGATGGGTGGATAGATAGATAGATAGATAGACATGATGGATGGATGGATAGATAGATAGACAGACATGATGGATGGATAGTTGGATAGATAGATAGACATGATGGATGGATAGTTAGATAGATATGTAGGTAGATAGATAATCAATGGTTGGATGGATGGATGGATGGATGGATGGAAAGATGATTGATGGGTGGATAGATACATAGATAGATATAAAGATGGATGGATAGATGGATGGATGGATGGATCAAAGGACACATTTCTAGCACCCAGCAGGTTGTGGGTGAGAGGAAGGTGAACAGACACATGTCCACAAATGCTGAGAAAGAGAGTCTGGAAGTCCCCAGGTCAGGGACTCCCACTCAACATTCAGTTCTGGGTTCAGCCCCCATCCCCAACCCTCAAGCAGGAGGCAAATACATATCCTGGTGCTATCGCTGTGTGCTCAGCTCTGACATCTCTGGGCTGGATAGTTTGGCCTGATGAACAGTCATGGGGTCACATCCCACCTCATGGTCCAGAATTAACCATTCTCTCTCACTGTGGCCCCACAGCAACCCAAATCCAATCTTGTGTTTCACTAATGTGTCCCTCAGGAGCTCCTACCAATATTGTCACACAATGGCCCAATGACTGTCTACACTGTGGAAATGAACAAAGACCACCCGAACAAGAACAAGCAGAAGAGGTTTGTTGAAAGCTTGCTGTACCATGTGATTGGCTGGAAGAGCGTATGTGGCTTTCTCTGACTGGTTCTGAGTTGGAAGCGTGGATGCAATTTAGGGAAGTCGTCAGATATTGACTCGAGGGGCTGGTTTCCTGGACAGGTTGTCCAGGTTGTGTATCAGAGCTCTGTTTTCATAGATCATTTGGCCATTGGCCATCTGCGTAGTCTGTCTTTCAATGTCCTGCATGTTGGCAATCTGGCTTCCAGTAATCAACACAGCTATTCTACTTATTCTAGTTTTCTTTTTCCAATCTGGTTGATGACATCACATCACCCACTGTGCCCAGCCCTGTGCTCAACACGTGGAAAAAGCTTCAGGAAAGACATGCTGAACTGATAAGCAAAGGCATGTAAACAAGTTGGACTCTCTGTGAACACTCCCGTCGTGGGACTCTGGGTCTATCACAGCCTCTGAAAATCAAACGCAGAATGAGGGGTATGAATTTTCCTTGAGTTTTTAAGGAAGTCTTTCTAATGCTCACAGTGTGCAGAATACTTCTGTTCTGTGCTGGCCATTGTTCCTGATGTAACTGATCACGCTACAGGTGATCTTGACCTTCATGCATCGGTTCCAGAAATAGAGAGAGAGAGAGGTCGAGAAGGACGTTCTGGCTTCTGGAAACCCCTGATCTTCCAAAGGGGAGCAAGTGTCCATTTCTTATGGTGAACACCTTCAGGTTCTGAAAGGGAGGGGACTTGACCGCTCAGTCCTCAGCAAACATTCGGTTAGATTTTTTGACCTCCGTCTGTGGGAAATGTCTGATTGATAAAGTCAGACAGCTCAATCCACCAGCAGGAAAGCAGAAATGATCTTGTGGTTTCATCTGATGAGTTGGCTGCAGGGACAGGAGGCAGCTTCCTCGATTCGAGGAGGAGAAACAGGGACGTCAGTTGGGCATCTGACTTTGGCTCAGGTCATGATCTCACAGT